GTAGGTCATCACCACCCACCTGATGAAGCACACCAAGGTGTTCAACTCCTACGGCCAGGTGGTGGAGGTCCAGTACGAGATCCTGAAGTCCATCGCCTACTGGATGACCATCCAGTACGACTCGGCCGGACGGACCACCACCTGTGACATCAGAGTGGGCGTGGACAGCAACGTGACCCGCTACACTTACGAGTACGACGCAGACAGCCAGCTGCAAAGTGCCTCGGTCAACGAGCGCCCCCAGTGGCGCTACAGCTACGACCTCAACGGCAACATCAACCTGCTGAGCCAGGGCACCAGCGCCAGGTGGGAACCACAGCAGGAAACTGTGTTTTTAATAATGTTGGTCCCACCGTGTACTAGCGCGTACTACCGTGTACTACCGTGTACTCACCCAGGGTGAGATAATCAGTTGTTATTATTAGTGTATTAACAGAATAATCAAATTAAATCAATGTTAAAAAAATAATATTTTTACTCTATGGACTGAGTTCATCATATTATTAGTATTATTGAGTACCAGTTATATAGTACTAGAAATACTAAAAATAATTAGAGCTAAATTTGACCATTTTCTTACGTAAAAACCCGTTACACACAATAATATTCACACTGCAGGAGCTTAAACTACCCTCCGATCCAACCTCTGGTCAGCGGCCCCGGCTTGTGTCAGACGGTATTTTTTTGTGATACCTCTAGATGGAGATGTTTCTGTGGTACACGATCTAACATTTGATTGACAGGTCCAGGTCACATGTCGACCTGTTTCTGATAATTTTCCACGTGAACATGTTTCTAAACGGGCTGTGGTCTCGTTCCAGACTGACTCCACTGCGCTACGACCAGAGAGACCGGATAACGCACCTGGGCGAATTACAGTACAGCGTGGACGACGACGGCTTCCTGCGCCAGCGGGCCAACGACCTCTTCGAGTACAACTCCAACGGCCTGCTCACGCGGGTCTTCAATCGGGTTACGGAGCGCACCGTGTGGTACCGATACGACGGGCTGGGTCGGCGCGTCGCCACCAAGAACAGCAAGGGGGAGCAGCTGCAGTTCTTCTACGCCGACCTCTCGCACCCCACCAGGGTGAGTCACCTGTACAACCACAGCAGCAACCTGATCACGTCGCTGTACTACGACCTCCAGGGTCACCTCATCGCCATGGAGCTGAGCAGCGGCGAGGAGTACTACGTGGCGTGCGACAGCGTGGGGAGCCCGCGGGCGGTTTTCTCCAGCAAGGGGCGACTGGTGAAGGAAATCCTCTACACGCCCTACGGAGAGGCCTACCAGGACACCAACCCCGACTTCCACCTGGTCATCGGCTTCCACGGGGGTCTGTACGACCCGTTCACGCGACTGGTCCATCTGGGAAGGCGGGACTACGACACTCTGGCGGGACGGTGGACCTCACCCAACCACGAACTGTGGGCGGAGCTGAGCAAAGAACCCAAACCGTTCAACGTGTACGCCTTCAAAAATAACTGTCCCGTGGGGCAAGTGGAAGAAGTGACGCAGTTCACCACAGGTGGGTGGGCGCGTTCACACACACATCACACACACACACATCACACACACACCACACACACATCACACACACACACACACACACTCAGACCACAGACCATAATGCAGTGTCCTACTTTAAGACTGACGTTTTCTGTCTATATCAGTGACTGAGATGCTAACGCGCTTCAGATCAGAAACGTTAGCAGCAACAAAGGACGGCCGCGTCTGTGATCTTCTGGTTTCACGGGGTTCTGTCATGTTTTGTTCCCTCTGTCGAGAACACGCCGTTTGCCAGTGAGACGAAAAGAAACCCGTGAAAGAAAAGGAGAAAGGACGTAGGACGTAGGACGTAGGACAGGAGACGTGTCCTTCCAGTTAATGGAACATTTATTTGACCCGTCATGTTTCCCTCGCACCAGCGTTGTTTATTACAAAAGAAAATCTATTTCTGCAGAAAACAACGTCCGACTCCGACGTCCAGCGCGTGTTCGTCTCAATATTGTTTGATTTCCTGAACAGACTCTTGTTTCTCCGGCCTTATGACTTTTTGTTTGCTTCCAGGTGTTCACATTAGATTGTAATAGTCTGTCTCTATGCAATCTTCTCTCCCCGCGTGTGTGTGTGCGTGTGCGTGTGTGTGCGTGTGTGTGCAGACATCGGGAGCTGGCTGCAGCTCTTTGGTTTCCAGCTGCATAATGTGGTTCCAGGATTCCCGAAGCCCGAGGTGGGCAGGATGGAGCAGACGTACGAACTGATGAAGACCCAGACCAGGACTCAGAACTGGGACTCCAGCAAGGTGAAACTTTTAACAACCCAAACAGAAAAAAACAACAGAAAAAAAATAAAAAAAATGTTGTGCCGATGGAGGACGATCCACGTCTGCTGCTGTTGATACAAATTTATAGACGTATATATTAGGAGTGAGCGTCGGCAAGAACCTGGAGATACAGAATGTATCAAGTTTTCTTACACCCCTAATAAATATATACATATATTTATATATATGTAGATGTATATGGGGGTTCCTCGACTTGCAGAATTCCATTCCTACGGTGCAACATAAGGCAAAAAGGTCCCAAAAAAACCTCAACACAAACAAATGTAGTACAATCCACTGTATGACGAACAACCGTCAAATGTAAACAAAGTCGTCGTCTGCGTACAGCACCACGTGACAACGCAGTTTTTTCCTTCCACTGACCTGGTTGGTGAGTTTTAGAGCCGTACCTTGGATTCATGGAAGGAGAATTTCTTAATGAATTTATGGGACAAGAAAACGACGCAGGTCGAGGACGTCGTAAACCAAGGAGTCCCTCGTATAAAAACGAATGTTTCTAACGAACCTCCACACTTCAACGTTGCATATTTGAATCCCAAGTTGTTGTTTATATTTCTAAATATAAAGGTGTCATCTGTATATATTTGCTGCTGCAGCCGACTCACTCTCTGTCAACTCTGTGTTTTCTTCCTTCTTCTCCTGAACCTCCAGGTGAACCTGGGGATCCAGTGCGAGCTGCGGCGCCAGCTGCGGAGCTTCATCTCTCTGGACCGGTTGCCTCTGGTGTCAGAACCGGTCGGGTCCACCTGCCACCGACCGGTCCGCCCCCCTCCCTTCGGATCCAGACCCTCTCTGCTCGGCCCCAGCATCCGATTCGCCGTCTCCCACGGTCGAGTCAGCGCCGAGGTCATCGGCGTCGCCAGCGAGGACAGTCGGCGCGTGGCAGCCATCTTGAACGGTGCCGCGCACCTGAGCGGGCTGAGCTTCACCGTGCACGGCTGCGACACCCACCACTTCCTCCAGTCCCGGCCGATCGAGGAAGACCTGGCCCTGGGGCTGGGAGTCGCCGGCCGCGTCCTGGAGAACGGCGTGAACGTGAGCGTGTCTCAGATGAGCGCCACGGTGAGCGGCAGGACTCGGCGTTTCGCCGATATCACCCTGCAGCAGGGGGCTCTGTGTCTGTGTGTGCGCTACGGCGGGAACGAGGAGGAGGAGCGGGCGCGGGTGAAGGAGGAGGCGAGGAAGAGAGCGGTGGAGGGGGCGTGGGAGAAGGAGACCAGGAGGGTGGATCTGGGGGACACGGGGAGCAGGGTGTGGAGCGACGTGGAGAAGCAGCAGCTTCTCACCGCCGGGCGCGTTCAGGGCTACGACGGCTACTACTCGCTGCCCACGGAGCAGCAGCCGGAGATGTCCGACTGCCCCTCCAACATCCACTTCATGACACTGAGCGAGGTGGGGGGCAGGTAACAGAGACACGTGAGCAGCCCCCCGCCCCACCAAAGACTGCCTGTTTCTACTCTACTCTGATTTGTTCTACTGTTTCTACAAAGGTACGAGGAGAGGAGAACCGCGACAAAGAAGACGAAGAAGAAGAAGAAGAAGAAGAAGAAGAAGAAGAAGAAGAAGAAGAAGAAGAAGAAGAAGAAGAAGAAGAAGAAGAAGAAGAAGAAGAAGAAGAAGAAGAAGAAGAAGAAGAAGAAGAAGAAGAAGAAGAAGAAGAAGAAGAAGAAGAAGAAGAAGAAGAAGAAGAAGAAGAAGAAGAAGAAGAAGAAGAAGAAGAAGAAGAAGAAGAAGAAGAAGAAGAAGAAGAAGAAGAAGAAGAAGAAGAAGAAGAAGAAGAAGAAGAAGAAGAAGAAGAAGAAGAAGAAGAAGAAGAAGAAGAAGAAGAAGAAGAAGAAGAAGAAGAAGAAGAAGAAGAAGAAGAAGAAGAAGAAGAAGAAGAAGAAGAAGAAGAAGAAGAAGAAGAAGAAGAAGAAGAAGAAGAAGAAGAAGAAGAAGAAGAAGAAGAAGAAGAAGAAGAAGAAGAAGAAGAAGAAGAAGAAGAAGAAGAAGAAGAAGAAGAAGAAGAAGAAGAAGAAGAAGAAGAAGAAGAAGAAGAAGAAGAAGAAGAAGAAGAAGAAGAAGAAGAAGAAGAAGAAGAAGAAGAAGAAGAAGAAGAAGAAGAAGAAGAAGAAGAAGAAGAGACCGGGGCAAAAATCATCTCCAAATGCCTTTAATTGTGACAAAATGATGGTATTTTATTATTATCGTCCAGTTTCTCCGATTTCTAACAGTGGCACAAGCGGTGTGTGGTTTGGCTGTGGCTTTGCTTTTTGTATCCTGATCGGTCTGGGACTGCTGACCTACTGACTGACCGACCGACCGCCCGACCGTCCGTCCGTCATTTGCTGTCTCGACACTGTTCATCGTTTTTGAACTCTCCGAGAGTCACCGCGCGGCACAGAGGACGACTTTTAGCACGAACGGTGGAGAAGGAAGTTTCAAAACAAAACAAAAACAGAAAAACGAGAGATTTTAAAAAGGGTGTTCTGCCGCTCCGTGACTCCGACTCCGGAGCTCTCTGGTTGCCATTCGATTTCCTACGTGGTTACCTCGGAAATACTGTCGTTTACATATTGTGTAAGAGAGGCCTTGTCAACTCTTTGACACTCCCCCCTTTAGAGGGGGGGAACCCGCGGCGGTTCTCCCCCTCTGTGTGTGTGTGTGTGTCCCTGGAGATCAGACCTGTACATAAGCAGTGTTTTCACACTGAGGAAAAAACAGAAGACGAAGAAGAAGAAGAAGAAGTTGCTCAACTGGAAGTTCTGTTGTTCATAAGTAAGTGTCAGTATTGTTACTCAATAGAAAAACCGTTACATTTTTTGCACAGAATTATAACACGGCTCTATAGTAAATATTCTTCGCTGAAAGATCTGACTTTATTGGGTTACAAAGCTGATTAAAGTTATTATGTGTGAATTACCACAACGTTCCCTGGGATTTCATAACTTGGTGCAGATGATTATTTCCTCTCTCTCTCTCTCTCTCTGTCTGTCTATGTCTGTCTCCCCCTCCTCCCCCCCCCCTC